TGCCTGACATTTCCAATGGGTTTGGGCTTTCTCCAGTGTAACACTTTCACTTGCATTTTTCACAACTAAAAGCAAACAAAGAGTCCTTGACAGCAAGGGAGTCTGAGACTTCTCTTGTTGCCTCTATTACCCCCCAGGCATTTCTTACTGCTGGGCTGCCTTTTCCACCTCATTCTGAAGGCATTTATTTATTTATTTATTTGGTTATTTATTTATTTAAATTAGATCTTTAAATATCTACTGTCTGTTCAGATTTCCAAATGGTTATGCTCAGGGCTATTTAGTAATCCAAGGAAAATGATGACATGCTTGCAAGGCAGCAATGAAGCCACTTGCGTATTAAGTATTCTACACCTAGCCAGCTTCACTGTGTGTCTAATACATCATAAAGTGACAAATGCAGAGAAGCCAAGCCAAACTTAGCAATGGTCTCTCTGTCAATGTTTTGTATTTAATTTGACAGGCAGATACATAATGCCAGGAAGAAGTGAAAGCATTACAACTGACTAATTAATTGCCTTTTAAAATACAACTCCCTGTACTTAGCCTGTCTCCTCACCAGATACACGTTAACAAATAGAACTGACTTAGCATTTGGGAGCAACTTATCATTCCAGAAAAAAATTGTTTACAGCAAAAATTCACACCAGGAAGTCTGGTCTGCCAGTCTGGACTGAGAGAATCAGTTGGAATTCTTTCAGATAAAATTCAGACCTTGTGAAATAGGTAAAACAAACACCAAAGACCTAGAAGAATTTGTTTGTGAGTTGTTGCCTCATGGTGCTTGGAAGGACAGTTCAGGACTCCTCTTCTATCCCAGCTAAGTTCTCAGATTCAGATTAATCTCGCAGAAGGTACCAAGTGTTCCTCTGCAGTACCATGGCACTGGCACAGTGCATGGACAGGGCCAGCTAAACACATAATGTGCTCAGGCACCTCCAAACAAAATGACTGATTTTCTGTTGTTCTAGACAATTGCACAACTCCCAGCAAGAATTCCCAAATGCACCAGCTCTTGGGGTCCTCCACTTTACTGTGGGTTTAGCACTTACACCACAGGTATATTGCTGTAGCACCTAATTAGTGTTAAGTGCTACTGCAATATGATCATCATTTCACTGACGGGAAAATTAAAGCAAAGTGTTGAAGTTATTTAACTTAGTCCACATAGGATCAGCCTTAGCTAAGGTCTTAAACGGGAATCGGAGGCATGGGAGGAAGTGCAATTAGACACCAACCCCACAGCTCCTAGAGAAGGGCCCTTTGTGCAGGCTGTACTTGGAATATCATTCAAAACAATCTTTTAGAAAATATTCAGGTGCCATGGCAGTTTGTTAACCCTTCACAGGCGATAACAGCTTTTGACAAGGTGGGAATTTCGGCACTACCCAGTCATGGCCTGACATTGCAGACTTGAATAGAAGGGGAGTTAAGCCCAGTGGTCACTGGTTTCCCTCCTATGGCAAGGAGCTATGCAGGGCCCTTGTCTGCCTGTGATTTGTGAAGTATGTAACACCTTTTGGGTGCTGCTACTCATCCACTTTCCAGCACCTCGAGTGAACAGAGAGGCAAAGCTTCCACAGAAACCATTTCCTCTCTACTAAAGGAACTTCAGGTCCATGGCCTCCTAATGTAGGCACCTGGGTTTCCTGCCTCACAGTGTGGGCAAGTTTTGCAGCTCAATTCTACTGGAGATTATTAACAAACAGTACTACCTGAATAACCAGGTGATCTCTACCTTTCAGCTCAGCTTCACTGTTATGCTGACTGCACTATCACAACCAAAGTCAAGAAGTCTCAGCTCAGGACCAGCAAAACTGTTTTCTCTAAACAGATTTCCCTAAGGAATAAAGAAACTGAATGCTGCCATATGGCCTGTAAATTAGGGCATTCTAGGTGGATTAACCTCGGGTCAGTACACAACTGTGACCATTCAGAAAGAACAGCATTTCAGACCCACACTGAAGTGGCAGCATAAGCAGCTTTGCAGTTTTGTGATTGTATTTAGTGGCTCCTGGAGCTGTACTGGGCTGGCAGCACTGCCAGCTTGGTAGATTTCTTCATAAGAAGCTTTTCCAAAACCTACAAATGAAGGGCATACTTGATATACTAGCAATGGCATTTTTTCCAGAACTTTTTCAATGAAATTAACTCTTGAAATCCAGCTCTCTGTACATACCGCAATGGAGCAGCTGATCAACCCTCCTCTCTTATGCACTTTCAGCAAGTCTTGAAACAGGTTCATCTGCTCAGAAATAATCTCACCATATTTGCCCTGTACCAAATCAATAGATTCTGCTACTGCTCCACTGAAATCCACAATGGCATCTGCAGCACTGCCTTCATCGAGGGCTTCGTAGGATCCAGCCAGCCTGAAGGCAACACAGAACATTCTCAGTTACTGCGGGGCTGTTACAAAACTTCTAATTTGGCTTGAATGTAGGTAATATATTTGTGTCTCACTAAGGAAAAACCAAAACAGAACAAGAAAACCCTCAGCAGATTGCAGACAAACCTTTCCTGGTTTCTAGGATCCTTAAGGCTTTGGGCTGCTGAAGTAGACTGCATTGCACTCCTTTATGATTCACCTTCTCCATGCAGATTAAAGAAGGACTTTTCAGCCCTTTTTAGGTTCTCTACTAGCAGCAAACTTAAAACCTATGGAAAGTCTGATAGAGTTCAAAGATAAAACAAACAGATGGATAGAAGGGGCAACACCAAGAACTAGAAGGACAATGTACCAGCTCATACTTTGCATAAGCTTTCTCCAGCAGTGCACTCCAGAATTCATTTTTCATGTTGGAATGGCAGTAGATCAACTTCCCATCCATTGTTGGTAGCAGATCATCAACAACCACCTCTGTCCATTCTCCAAGGCACCAGAAACGGAACCGGAAAATCCCAGCATATTTCTCTGGGTTTTTAGGGTCCCATTCTTGTTCATTAAAGTCTGGAATCACCTGAGAAAGCATGGAAGGGAAAGTTCACAAAGCGCATTATGTTAGATATTTTTCCAAGACCAGACTGCCCTAGAGCATGCATTGTGCTGGCATTCAGCTTCATGAGCAGTTGACTCTAAACAGATGAAGCAGTAAAAAAAGAGGGTGAATGTGGTACAAAGTGAAATCTTTCAGGAAAGTAAAATTTAAATTGATTGCAAAGACAAACAGAAGCCATTCATTGTACTCTCAGGGTTTGTTATATCTCTTTCCTGGTGCTCATCATGACAGTGGAGTGAGGAGGTCTCATAACATGAAAAATGAACTGTTAAAGAAAGGGAAGATTTGAATCCACCAAAATTCACCACTTATTAGTCCTAGAGGGAAAAGACTTTGGCTGATAGGCAGGGAAACAACTAAGGTTTAACAGCTTTGTTGTTACACACACACACATATCAATCACCTACCTGTTGCCAGAGGCTCTTCCTAAGCGCCAGGCAGGAGCATGCGGCCACAAACCAGCAGTTGCCCAGGATGCCCTGGTGTAAATCGTGGGAGCTGATTCCATTCACAAATAGGTGAGGGTCTTCACAGAGGTCCTGGCAAAGCAAACCGGAGATTACTAGAGGCTCCACTCCAGAAATGATCACAGCATCCTTTTCATCAAGAAAAGCAGAAGTAAATGATGTTACTGACACCTAAACTCTACACTCTTCTTCCTTCATTGCCAGTCCCTTGGCTGACATCCTGGAAACCTTCCTCTGCCAACAGCCCAAGTTACTACAATGACCCCACAATGACCCCAGCCAGACAACACCAAGGAAGGCAGAGAATGCTTGTTTGCAAAACACACCTCTCATTCTCTGAGTCTCATCTGGCTCTTATTAGAACAACTCATTCCTCCTCTCCCACTGCTTCCATGGCTCCATCTCTGTTTACATGCAGATTCCCACCAAAGCATAGCTGGGTCTTCCTGTGATGCCTCCCTGCTTCTTCCTACCTTGCCTGAAGTTCAAGGCACAAAGGGGAGCACTTCTAAGTATCACAGAGCATGGGAAAGGCACAGGGGTGTCTTTTGCAGCAGTATTGTGTCTGTTACCCAGAAATCCTTTGAGATACTGTTCTGCTGAAATGATACATATGTGCTCTCGTAGTCCTAGAGAGAACCTCTCACACAACATTTCAATGAACAGGTAATCTGACTGTCCCTTAACTGATATGGAACCTGCCAGTCTCAACCCAGTGATTGCTCGTGACAGTCTCCTGTCATTGCTTTTCCTGACTGGCTGAAGGGATGGAAGAGCTGACACTGATAAGAAATTCTGCTCTTTCACAGTATATTAACCCTAGGCAGAGTTCCTGCAGGCAGGAAATTATCTTATACCCAGGCATTAAAAATGCAGAATAAATCACTCACTCTCACTTTAACTGGAGATTCCATATTTACTGCAGTTTTTCCAGTTTGCTATTAGCAGCAGAGTAAGAACCTGTGCTCTTTACCTCATCGATTCATTGGTAATCACAGCTGATGATCCCAAAATACCAAGACTGCAGTCCAAGCCTGGCTACAGACCATAGGCATGTGTAAACCTTGCAGTCTTCCCTCTGATGCGGCTGTAACAAATCAGTGCCAGATGAACTTATTTTCAGAGGAAAGAACCGCCTCAGTGCTGAGCTGAAGGCTAGTTTTCCTGGGCTGGTTTAGCCAATGGCACCTGAAGTCAGCTCACAGCATGGAATTCATGGAGCTGCTGCCATTTTCTTCGAGAAAATTATATTTTTGCCATGAGACTTTTCTCATTAAATAACAGTTGAAACTTTACATGCCTCTTGGGAAACAAGTAACTGACCATTACATGACACTGTTCCTCTGTCAGGATTTCTTACATGTGTCTCCACTTAGAGAAATTTCAAAGCTTATTAACAGACTTTAATAAAAATCCAAATAATAAAATGGTGCCTACGAGGAAAACTGACCATGTACAAGATGCTCATCAGCATCATGGACAAATTCATTTAGTCTGCCTGGATGCTCTGATATGGAATGGCAACAGGGCCTTCAGGGTGGCATTTCAGCTGATGTACATCAACCCAGTTGCCTGTTGCAGGGATTGACATTAGTTGACTACTTGGTCTTCATGGTGGTAGCACACATTCCAGTTTCACATCCCATTTCCAGGCATCTCTGGCAGTAATAATTTCTGCTTTGTTTTTCCTTTCAAAATGCTATTTTGTTAGAATAATAAAGAAGGGATAAATGGAGCCATTGGGGTTAAAATTGTCCAAACTTTTCTGTCACTAGAGGAAGCCAAAACTTTAATTGGTTTTGAAAGAAATTAAGCACTGCTGTATATTATCTGGTATGCTTTGCTAAAAATAACCACATTAACATGTGTATCTCACACAGTCCTCAGAGTAAAAACAGAGATCAGTATGTGCCAACCTCCAAAACTTATGGATGAGATTAGCCTTTGCTGACCACTGGGGTCCAAAGCAAACATGGAACAGCAGAAATCAGAAACAGCACCTCCCTGTTTTGACTAGTCACCACATTCTTCAGGATCCTGTTGATAAACCCTTTCTTATTAAACTGCGTAGAAGCTCTGGACTTCTGGGACTAAAGAACAGCAGAAGAAAATGACATTTGCTCTGTTTCTCTTGTAACTGATTACAGCATTATAACAGCTTCTATGATGGCTGTTACTGTGTGCCAGGTGAGATACACAACACTCAGGCACAAGCTAGAGCTAATTTTAGCTGTTTTCTCTCTTCTGAGCTTTTTGCTTTTCACCACTTAAGCAATACAGCAAATTCTAAGGAATACTTTTAGCTATCTAAGCCACAATTCCCTGAACATAGTTAGAAATGTGCTATTTCAATATATTTTTCTTCAGTCCTTGTGAGGATCTTTAAGTATTTTTGGTTGCCCCAAGCATGTAAAAAAAATAGAAATGAAAAAAAAATTCCAATATTGCTCTCAGTGGTGATAATTTAGGACAGTTGAGGACCAAGCCCATTGCCATCAGAGGAATTACAAGGAAGAGAGACTGATGTGAGATGTGGTCCATTCAGGAGACCTGATGCTTTCTCTTTTGCTACCTAAGCACTTGGGTACTGAGTTCTATCAGAAGTACCTGCTCTGCAAACATAGTGATTTAACCCTAATCCCTTTTCTCAGGATCAGCCTGCATTATTGGGCTGTGAAAAACAGAACTATTATTACACATCATTAATGTCTAACAATCACACTATTTCTGATATAACACTGCTAATAAAAGCAGTTGTTGTATTATTTATGCCTGCAAGGAGCATTCCACCATCCAAGATGCAGAGCTTTCCCCAGTTCTCCCCTTACATGTGTACATAATAAAATAGACACCATCTGCAGAACTATAATTAGGCTGCACAGAGTTTGAAAGTGAGGTAAGAGGTTGCAGGACCTCGTGGTTCTACTGAAAACCCTGATGCTTTTACTTTCATACCAGACTTCTATTTGCCTGACAGAAGTCGATTTGTGTCACCTCCCATCCTTGCTGTGCTGTGTAGGCTTGAAATATCTGATATTCAGTATTTCTCAGCCACTGGTGCTGTGAGAAATAAAGTGTCTTACAAACCCTTTTTTTCTGATTTTACATGGTTTGTCTCTTTGTAACAGAGCAAGAACTGGTTTATGAGCAGACTGGGAGAACACTGAGCAGTCTGGAGATGAGAAACTCAGCACGGGATCACCGGAAATAACAGTGGGAGAGAATGTGATAGGTTAGTCAGTCCCAACACCTTATACTGTCTAAGTGTCCAAACTGGCTATCCCTAACCTACTTGTGACTGAAGCTTCTCTAACCTGCATTTCACATAGCCCATGAAGGAAAGCCACTTACTTCCTCCTGTCTTCAGCAGAGAAGTGCATTGCTGAGCTGCTCTACAAGCCCTCTGTGAGTGAACAGCCAGTTAGCTTTCCTGTCTACAGCAACCCCACAGTTAATCTACAAGCCTGTAATAAGTCTGTATTTCCTAGTTTTAACACCTGGTTCATCATGTTTTGTATCACTGGTGGTATGCAGTGCCCAAATTCAGACACTGGGCTCCAGGTGAAGATATAGCACTGCAGAGCAGGACTCAGTGATCTTGCTTACTGCAGCTGGAGGGGCTCATTTTTCTCTTTTCCCTTGAACTTTACATATTTGTGTTCACACTGTGATCCACACTCTGATCCTATTCTATGGACTTGCTGCCTAGTCATTCTTTCTCCCTAACCGAGCCATCAAGTCAAATAGTACCAAAGTGCTGTACTTTGTTACATTGCTGAAATGATGCTGAATTCCATCCTCTTTATTCCACATTATTTTCTCAAGATAAGTTTGAATTCTCAACCCAGTCAACTGGCTTGCAATCCTATTCCAGTCTGTGTCCTACAGCATTCCCCAACATGCCTTCCTAGCCCCTCTTCCAAGCAGTAATGAACATATTGATGAATACCAGACTAAGGGAGGTTTCTTCAGGACTCCATTGACACAGAGCCAGCTTGAGAGGGCTCCAAGTCAGTTATTTCACCAGCTGTACATCCCCATTACAGATGTTTGTAGTAATACAAATGTTCAAACTTTGGAGAGATATATTAGATATCGCCAAAGTCTTATGAAATTCAAACTATATCACATCTACTGTTCCTCTCTTAGTCACAAGATTGGTCTCACTGTATACCTGAAGGAAGGTAAGGTGATACATATTAGTGTATCTGTTCCCCTTAGCTCTGAAGATGCATCTCTTGGCATAAGTATTACCAATATCCATGAACTAAAAATGATACAATCTTGGTTACAAATAGGAAGACATTCAAAGGGTTAATTAACTATGTGTCTTCAGAGACACTGACTGAAGCTGCACTGTAAAACATTATGAGAGAACTCTGACCTCCGAGAAAAGGGAAAGATGATTTTTTAATGGATTTGGGTCTGTCAGCTGTCTCAGAAAAACAGATTCAGGGAAAGGGAAGAAGAATAAAGAGCAATAACTGCTTTCAACTAAGATTTTCGAAGGATTCAGTAACATTTAGAGCTTACTTTCTCCAGTACCCTTTAAAGAACCCAGCCCTAACATGAAAAATAATCGACCTTTGCTTGCACACAATGGAGACAGGCACTATCCTTGATTCTGTCAGACTGATCTGCTTAAGCCAAATATACCATTCCCTTAAATTTTTTTAAAGCAGTTTGAATTCTGTCAGAGCTGAGGATCTCTTCTCCTGTCATCATATCATCCTGAGTCAGGTCCTGTAGAGAGTCAGATCAGTGTAGGTAAGCAAGGAGAAAGGCATTTCTAAACATGGATGCTAAACTTCAGCTTTGACTGCAGCTGACTATGAACCAATCTCATCTAGAGGAAGGTAGCAAAGACAGCACTTACTTTGCAGTTGTATAACTGAAGAGGTAGATAAGATTGTCTATTCTATAATAAACCCCAGCTGTGTTGGCATGGTTACAAAATCCATTTCCAGACCAGGCTGTTTGCCAAGGCAATTGTAGTTAGCCCTAAGAAGCGAAGTAACTGAGCCCAGCTTCACTAGATACTCCAAAGTATGCAAAAAGCCTTTTCCTACCTT